GAGGGAGTTTAACGTTTCTTTAGGATATCTATGGAGCTATTTCAGGTTCATAAGTTTTGATCATTCAAAAAAATACAATTTATTTGAAAGTTCGAGTTTTTATCCTGAACTTTGAAAAATAAAATTATGTATTCAAAATAAAAATAAGTATTTGAAATCATTTTTCAGGTTGAATATCATTTTGATTCAGTTCAGCAATTTTTTTTGAATAAAATATTTATTTTCAGATTTCACTTTTATACATATTTTGATATTTGAATCCTTATTTTTTTCAGTTACATTTTTATCGTTTTCAGATTCAAAACAATTATTTTTTCAGTTTCAAATCTTGTTTTTTCAGGTTTCACATTGCTTTTCACGATCTGAAGGTGAAGGTTAATTTATCTGGATATCATTTTTTCAAATTAACCAATGACTCTACATATGCTCAGTGTTGGATGGAAAAAACAACATATTGCTAATTACGCTATTCTTAGACTCTTCACAGTGGAGGGGCTGACGGCATACAGAGTCCCCTCAGGGATGAGCTACAAGAAAGGCCATGGGGTCATTATTTTCTCGCTCATTATCTCTGAGAGTTAATGAATCTGCTTGGAGTATTTCATTGAAATTCACATATCAGATTATGAGATATCTTGTGTGCATAGTTGAGCAACGGGAAAGCACATAAAATGTTCTAAACTTAAAATTAAAGGTCAGACGGTCATAAAACTATTAAGATTCATTGTTTCTGGACAATGAATATTAATGTTAAGATGTCTCGCTGTGGGACAAAGTGTATGGCAGGCAGACTGAATGATCGACAGACAGGTATCACCATCAACAGAGACTTTATTAACAAGAAGTAAAAGAAACTGACTAAATCAAAGTGAATGCGTTCCTTGGGAGCTCATTTTGCTACATTTCATATTGTTATACAGTTTGCTAAGCTATTATACTGAGCGTTACATGGCTGAAATCAAATGTTGCACATTTACTCGTTTATGAAGGAGAGCAGTAAAACAAATATTAGTTCTGTTGCAGTGTGTTGAATGCACCAGGGATAAAACTAATGAATAGAGTTACAACAACTGCCAGCTTCAGTGTTCAGGGTATAATGTTGTGGTGCTTTCAGCTAAGATGTGTTTACACTAGTTTTCGCTTTCATTTAGCAAAGTAATTCAAGATCTCCAAGCTGCACAATAAGAGAGAGAGTGGGGAGATAGTCTTTAGGCCTCTATTTTAAGATATGATTGGATTCTTTTCTTGCTTATTATAATAGATTTCTATCTTGTATTTTTTTCAAGCTAGTGTTTCCTTGAGTGTGTGTCTGTATGTATTTCTCACTGAGGCAACGTATGATCATATGGGTAATGTGATATCTCACGGGAAATTATTCCACATTTTGTGTGTGTTTACCTGCGGATGTCTAGAAACATGTCAATCTGCACTCTGGTTACAATAAGGGAAAACAAAAATGCTGGCTATGTTTAGGTTAAGAATGTGGCTTGCGTCTAAATCACACAAAAATAAATCTGATTACTGTTACATTTCTAAAGAATTGGGATAACTAACAGGATTATAATGTCACAATGCATTTTGAAATACCGATCAATATATTACTGGTAGATGTAATCCCTAAAATGTTATTTAGGTTTTCCTTTAGACTACTTTCACTCTTTTTTTTATTTTAAATATATTTTAATGCAGTAAGTGGACACCTGATTTATTGAACAAAGATACTGTGTTTGCTTTTAATTCATGTGTTAAACTTAAACAGCATTTAAACTGTTTTACTCTGTAGGCCTACCCTGTAATGTAAGATGACACATTTTTTCTCTTGCATTTATTTGCATTATATTTGATATTGAGGTAATCAGAAAGTATTTTTTTAACTAGTAATTGTAACTGAATTAACTTTTAAAGGAACCCTCCCAACCCTGAAGTCACAAATATGTCATGTTAGGTTTAAATAAACTACAGAAGATGCGTGAAGAAGTGCCAGTGGTCTCCTGGACGAAAGGCTAAGTGTTTTTGGATCCATTCATGCACTTCAACCTACTTCCTATTGTACTTCCTCGGTCACGAATACTACAATACATTCAAGGTATATGTTCTGGGGTATACACAGTGCATTAGTTTCTCATGGTTTATCTATGAACAGTGTATGAGAGAGCCTGATGTATGACGCTGTCCATTTCCAGGAAAGTTCACACTGTGAGGGACCCTGTACTTTTTTCTGTCTGAAAGAGGTTCAGCTAAATAAAAATTCCCTCATGGTGATGAAGTAATCCCTCTGTTATTGTCAGGATGAGAGGGGAGACGGTGCAGATGAGAAGCTGCTGGCTTAAATCCATCTCAGGCTTGCCAAGCTGTGATCTGTGCATAACTTTGCCTAGCCAAGGGTGGAGACAAATGTCAACACTGATTAGATCCTAACAGGATGACATGTTTACACTGTTTATCACGAGGTATTTTGTCTCCAATAATAGGCGATACCTCTGGGGTATTACAAGGCTGTGTGTGCAATTTAGATACTTAGATATGTAGCGTGTTTGTGAAGGCATACCTCTTCTGTTTGTTTGAGTGAAAGTGGGAATGTATGCACAGCGGAGTAAACTAGGCTTCGATCAAATGTGTTTCTGTTTGGTAATTGCCTGTTCTGTTTTTACTGACAGGTTGGAGATGAGATAGTGGAGATTAACGGGGAGCCGGCACGCGGCATCTCTCACACCCGGGCTATCGAGCTGATCCAGGCTGGTGGAAGCAAAGTGGTGCTGCTGCTCAGACCAGGGGCGGGCCTGGCTCAGGACGGCAGTAAGTACTACACACACCATTAAATCAATGATGGTTATAGCATACAGAACAGAGACCAATTCACTTTGAGTTTAAAGTCAATACAGACTGCTCTCGAGCCTAGAAAGCTGTTGCTAGTTTGTCTTTTTTGGCAGAGTCAAGGATAGTAGGGGAACTTTAGTACTTAGTTGACCTAATTGCATTTACATATTTAATTTATATCTGGTATAAAATCCTTTATTTTCTCCAAGAGGTATTGTCGTTTTTTCTTTACAAACTCCTTAACGGCATAGCTTGGGAAATACGTTTATTTACTTTTTACAGAGAGCTATAAAAGACCTTGATATCCTTGTCCTGTCTGTCTGTCGAAGTTAAAGGGGCCATATTATGCTTTTTTGGGTTTTCCCTTTCCTGTAGTGTGATATACAGTATATGTTTTTATCCATGTAAATGCTCTCCAGAGGGAGTATTTCTTCCACACAGTTAAGGCACAAAATACAAATATGAAACAAAAAATGAGCATAATAGTGCCCCTTTAAGACGAGAGCAAGTTGTCTATTAGCATAAAAAATAGCTTGCCTGGTTCCGTCCAAATGTAGAATGTTGCATGTTAGATTAACGCAATTAAATTATGTTAACAACTAGATTGGATGTATCTACTAAATGTGTTTACGGGCAAGGACACAGTAGTTAAATACATGCTGAATACATAAATACTCCTGACGTTTAGCTAATGATAATGACTCCATCCTTTTGTCTGTCTCCCGAGCCTATTTTGGAACACTGCCCGTATCGACTTAAATGTACTTTCTTTATTGACTTTTTTATTTATGCATTGAATCTCTAACCATTTGCTTTCTTTTGGCTCTTCTTCTCTTGCCCCTGATGCAGGTAGTACAGCTTCTTCTACTCTGTGCTACTACACTGAGCACCAACACTAACAACTTCACTGCTTTTACTGGCTGCTTCTATTTTACCTTGGTAATTCTTGTCTCTTTTCCTTCTGTTAACCTTTCTTGCTACATTTCTTGTTTTGTGTGTGTATTCAAATTATTGTATGCCCTTAATGAGTCTTAATGTAAAATGTGTGCTTTTTTTCTCAGGTCAACATGATCAAAAAGTCATTTCACCTGCAAGCTCTCCCGGAGAGGTGTTTTTATCAGACACATCACCCCTCTCCTCTCCATATCCCACCGGCGCTTCCAACTTTGTTTCCCCTCCCTTCTCCAGCAATCTGAAACATTCGCACAGCTGGAGCAGCATCTCCCCCCAAGGCCACAAGCCCCGCAGCAGGGGTTTGGACTCAGTGAAGGAGATTGGTGAGAGGTCAGAGAAAGAGGCAGACAGGCTCTCTCCCGCCTCCCCTGAGCATATTAACTTCTACAGAAGGACCAGGCCCCCTAAGGACCCCAGAGAGCTAAGCAGCCCAAAGAACACAGGGGAGGCATTTCCTAAAGCCAAAGAGCAGCATCACGGTCCCAAAAAGACTGAGAGTCAGCCGAAGGAAGAAACGCTGACTAGGAAAAGGATGTCTCAGACAAAAACACGATCCACAAGCCCTAGAAAGTCTCCTCCAGCTGCACAGCAAGCGGCTTCAACAGTGCAGCGTTCGGAACATCCACAAGGCGCCCAGAGAAGATTAAAAGTCTCCTCCAGCAGAGAGAGCTTGGATCATGAAAAGAAAAATGGCAAAGGGGGGACCATTGGGACCAGAAAATACTCACAAAGACGAGAGATGGAAGCGAGAGGAGAAAGGATCGAGCCTGGCCATGAGCAAGAAAGTTTCATAAGAAGAGTGGGGGGAGAGTTTCAGCACCGCAGGACGTCTCATAAAGTCAGAGAAGGCGAGAAAGGTACATCTAAAGACTCAGGGCAAAGAGATGCTAATGGGAAATCCATGGAAGACAAGAATTCAAGTAAAGGAACCGTCAACAAAAGAGAATCACTGTTGCATTTTAAAGATTTGTGGAGTAGAAAAGGGTCCGTGGTCTCACCAAGAGAGGCAAAAGGAAGAGAAGACACATTCGTTCACTCCAAAGAAGCCAGCAGTAGGGAAGACTTTGTGGCCTCTATAAACAGTTCTCCAGGGACCCCGCAGAGCCCAAAGGGACCCATTATCCCCGGCCCTTGGAAAGTGCCCTGCTCAGCCAGAATCCTCACCGAAGCAGAGGTCCTTCAAGACCCTTTGTGATAAATATTGAATCACCCAGACATGAGAATATTTAACAGTGCCCTCAGCGGGTTGTTTTTCTGAGTTCTTCCATAAAACAGGGCAACATGGTGCCACTTTTATTACCTGCTGGTCCATGTTCCAGATTTTCTCTTTGGACTCTGTCTTTTTCTGGGAGTCCTGTGACATAACGTGTTGGCATGTAGCAACTCCCCCTCTGCCTTGTCCGCTGCTTCATCATCTTTGATGTGAGACTTAAGCATGTGTGGCATGCTCGGGGCCTCACCAGACACGACATTTTGAAATGTGAATATGTGCCAATCCTGGGAGCCTCCTGTGGAACCATGACTACCAACAGCGCTTCACCCATTACAATGCAATGACCCATATGCAAAGAAAAGGAGATAGGCCCTAGCCTCTCGCCTGTAGTATACACCAAGTGTGACTGTCACCTCGGGTTTCATTTAGCTCTCGGCCTCATAGCGGGATATTTTGACTGTCTTTTTCTTAAACGTTTGCTCAATTGCATGCAGTCGGTCCTTCTGTTTGTTTTACTGCACGTGTTCTGCACATCACTGAGGATGATTTTCTTGTTTATAGTTCTCATTTACCACTCCAGGCACATTTCGAATACAACCCAGCAAGCATACACTTTACCGGGGACTCAAGACTGTTCTACGATTGCAGACGTGACTCTCCTCCTTACGAACAGTATCATTAAAAAGACCAGAAACTTGTGGTTTGAGATCTCGTTTACCATGTGTATGATAAGCAACCAGTGTGTAATTTATTGAGATGATAGAATAATATGTGTATATGTAGCTGTAACCAAGCCATTCCACATTTTTGATATAGAATCCAGAGATTTGTCCCATGTTATTTGCGCTTTCACCTCCGATGTATTTCAGTGCTAGGAATTACCATGGATCTCGTAGTTCATGAAATGTATAGGTAACGCGCAAACCGCTGTACCAAATGTTCGCAATCGCTCAAACGTGTCTCATTGTGAAATATTATATCTACATATATATTTGAATGTGTCATGTTTTGCAGATTCTAACTTAAATATATATTGAATTCCATTGCACTGCATCTGCCCTTGTAGCATATCAGAATGACCATGAGTTGTATCTAATTTGTGATGTTGACTTGCGACCAATGCCATTTTATTCTTATCGGTAATATGTTTATTATTTTATAAAGCTATTTCATTTATTTTAAAGACTCTCTCTTTACGGCCAACATGTCAATTTATATTATAATGTGCAAAAGTCATGTCCCTAATGGTTTAACCTTTGCCCACTGAGAAAAGAAAAATGTGGGTTTTTAATGTATGTATTTGTCAATCCTGCTGTATAATTATCTGACAGGGAAGCTTGAAGGAAAATGGAGCCTAGAGGGTAATGTGTTGGCTTACTGAGATGCTGCTGATGTAAAACTAGCATACAAAGATCACAACTTCCTATGTTTTTGAATGGTTGTTGAGCTGAAGAGATAAACAATTGGTTCCATCATGGGGTCAATGAAAATGAGAAATAGTCGGATTACACTGTAAAGTCAGTCAGAGGAAAGGAAATATACTCTCAGCACAACTGCTTATAAGATAAAGACATATTAGGACGAGCTCAGGGAACACAGAAAAGTAGCAAACGTGTGATAAAGTCAATGTTGGTGAAATGGTGGTTAAGGTTTGTGCGTGACTGTGATAAGAGCCTGTGATTGTATAAGAGAGTTAGCTGTCAGGTTTCAAATGACTTGAGGACACATGAGCCAATCAGTGGTAAGTTGTGTGCAATAGTAATAGTGGTTGGTTGAAATCCAACTAAGGGTCATGTACAGGCAGGTCACTGGTTAGTCAGATAATGCCCTTTTTATTGTATGTCCCCTGCACTGTTGTTCTCCTACCTGCTTTGGTTTTCTTTATTTCATCTCTGTATCATACTGTGGCCTTGCATCGCTTCATTAGAAAAACAATCCTTGTGGTATCTTCTACATTCTGTAGGAACAGTAGATGTAAATGTTTGTACATTGTACAGCACCTTTATAAATACTTGCTGAGTGCTATTTCAAGGGGGGAAAAAATAGAGGTATATTAAATCGCTCCATTATTTTTTTATGTATAAAAAAAAGAGAACATATTTAAAAAATAATTGAAAAGGATAGACTATGACCTTGACATGGTGTTCCGTTCATGCACTGAAAAATAAAGTTTTACTGAAAACACCTTCTGGACCTCTTGTATCGAAATTAATCAATTCATAATAAAACATTTGTAATTAAAACTGTTGTATTCTATTTCTGTCATAATTGTACACACATTTAGATTAAATTGCTTCTTATGCACTTCCTACAACACCGCCTTTTATATGAAAAAATTGCCAGAGCTCCTGTTTCTATGGCAGATTTCCAGTTGTCATGGTAGCCGACTGCTCTTCTCGACAGAGAAAGCTCCAATGCACGAAGATGCTTTTTCCATTACAAGAGAAAGCTAAGACTCATCGTATGCGTCGTGTCCATTAAATATCAGTTTTTCAAAAGCATAGGAATGGAATAATAGGGCCCTATTTGAAATGAGAAGAGCAAAGAAGGCAGAACACATGAATGAAAGACACATACTTAATTAGAAACAACTGCAAACCATTAACCCTCCTATCGTCTTTGTTTCCCCCCCCCTTACTTTGGTGTTGACGGTCAAATTTGACCGGTCCTGTTTTAACTGCTATTACATTAACACAAAAAAACATTAATCATCACCAAATTCCATTTAACAACCTTTCAAACTGTAAATATTGTATCAAACTACTGGTATACATGAAAAACTGTGTGTGTGTGTGTGTGTGTGTGTGTGTGTGTGTGTGTGTGTGTGTGTGTGTGTGTGTGTGTGTGTGTGTGTGTGTGTGTGTGTGTGTGTGTGTGTGTGTTATCTGATCCGCATGGTTACTAATTCCTTTTCTTTATGGCGGTCATTTTTGACCGGGCACCATGGGTGTTACAAAGTTGACTAAATCATCCAGAATTCAATGAAAGTGGTGATCAGCAATTGTATATGTTCAAATGTCTACTGTAAAGGATCATAAAGCCTTAATGCGATCGGACGTATAACAAAAAGGTTATGATTGATGAAAGTATCGATCAGATTTGACCCGAAGACAACAGGAGGGTTAAAGGGGCCCTATAGTGTTCATTTTCAGGTTTCAATTGTATTTTTCTCATAGTGCCTCTGCTGCAGCACCTCTTTTTGCGATGTAAGTATTTGCAGACCATTTACATGCGCAAAAACCTATGTAACACACTACAGGAAATAGAAAACCCAAAAAACCTTAAAGGGCCTCTTTAATTTAAAAGTAGTTCATCAAAGACTCTACATAATGAGCTTGCTAAGGCTAACTATAAACCTTAACATCAAAGATAGATTTATAATAGGTATGATACCTTTTGTAACTTTTACCTTAAAGTTGAACATATCTTCTGCAGTGTATTCCATCTAATTCATGCTGCAATTGCACGTCTCCCCCTCAGGCATCTACAACAGTAATTTGTTAGAAAATGTTCGTCAATATAGAAAAAACGCTTGATACGTGAATAAGTGCCAAGCACCCTACCATCAAGTCCTTGACTTTGACCCTGGTGTGAATGAAAGCCACTGAGTCATTCAGAACTCTATACACTCGTAGTAGAGTAGCCTTAATGGCAATAGACGGAATGGTCTGAATTGCATGTGTTGTTAATTGACTTAAATTGCTTTCAAATGCCTGGAACTGTACCGAACTGGATTTATATTCATACTATTGCATAGAGGATGTGGTAAATTGTCTGCAAAGAACCAAAAAGAAAACATAGACATTCTAAGTTTGTTCAGATGTACACCATAGGAAGAATATCTAAACATTACGTTTCACTAACCCTAATGTGTTAATGTGTGAAAAAATGACCTTCTGCTGAACAATGTCGAACAAATATGAGATGTATTTGTGTTTTATGCAACCTTTATCTAAAATGGGTATAAGCATTTGTTGATATAGATTTAGTATCAATTAGAGGTGGGAATAGGCACACATTCATATGTGCATAGTAGCCTTGTACACAATTCTGGTTGCATAGACAAAGGTTGTTTTGCTAGCAGCTACACCATGGCCCTTTCTCATTTCACTAATTCCCCTCCTCGACTCCTATCCTCGAGACTTGGTCCCGCCCACAGGAGATGCAAGCGGAGGAGCAGAGGAGGGGAACCGAGGAGAGGGGAAGCAGCAGACGGTTAGAGAAATGAGAACTCCTCTCCTCTGAGCGGTCATTTTAAAGAGACGTCCATTAATGATGACAGGAGGCCCAGCAGCCCTCTGTCTGATGGACAGATGTGTTCATGACAACTTATATATTTACTTTTAATTCATTCACAGTGCGGTATAATGAGACAATAACAGGCTACAAATGCGGACACACACACACACACGCGCGCACACACGCGCACACACACACACACACACACACACACACACACACATACATACATACATACATACATA